ATAAACGGCGACTACTGTACCTTGGTTGCGCGCCATTGAACCTTAAAAGTCACTTTATTAAGGGGAGAAGGCATTCGCCCTTGAGCTCCCTTTCCAACTTTTCAGTGAGTATTTTTAATAATTCCGCTACGCTTGCTGTACCGCACTCTACTACCCAAACGAAATGTTAACATAGCGTTTCAAAGGCTTTTTGGTATCGATCTGCTGTCACTTCCATAAAGATTGAAATCAATTAGCAGTTTTGTGGCTGTTTTATTTTTCCATCATCACTTTTGTCAGACACTTGACCTTTTTAGAGTGTAAGGTGTTAGCACCTTAATCGTAATTATTTATTCATTTTCCTCTTTATTGACGGTCATGAAAATCCTCTATATCTTTATTTTTAGTGTTCCAGAGTTTAGCACGAAGCACAAACACATGCAAAATTTTACAAAATGGTCGAAAGAATTCAGCATTTTATACATCAGACATATAAAATGAAGCATATCATTTAGGTATTTGCGTAAACATATGTAATTCTTTAAATATACCAAAATCATATTCTAAAAGCGGCGGTTTTCAGCGCTGCAAATAAAAGAAAAGCGTGAATACTAAATATCAGATGGCTGGGTAGGAGTCATTATTTTTTAATACATATTTTCCTAGAAAACGGCAAAGAAATAAATCCGAAAAATCTAAAGATTCCAAAAAGTATAAACCAAATAACTCTACGGACAATGCTGTCATTACTCCTGCTACTGAATTAAACGGTGTTATCCCGCCGCCTGAAATGTCACAGGATCAAGAGACAGAAATACATGGTTTACAGGATGCGACCAGAAATCTAAGAAACCAGTCGGATGATTTCCCGGTGCCAGCTGAATTCGTTCCTTTGCCTTGGTTTATTGATGCGGCCGCCTCACTGGAGCTATCAATCAATCGGAATAGTATTCCGATTATCTGTGGTCCTGTCGGCTGCGGCAAGTCCTTTCTGATTGACTACGTGGCGCTAAAACTGAAAGCATCGACTTCCAGGGTTCAGATTAGCGAGCAGACTGACACGAAGGTACTTTTGTGGACAAATATTTTAAGTGTCGCTTTATTGATTTCCCATTTATGCGCGTTTTCGTCTTGGTTATTTTCTTTTTTTCTTTTCAAAGTCTGTTAATAATAACGACGATTTCTTTAGTTAGGTGCTTTTAGTATCTTTTTCAGATTAAGTCTCAGTATATTCTGCCTCTGTTCCTCCCGATTGATGATTTCTTTTAATCTGTCTTCCTGTTATGAATGTAGACGCTTTTGGGCGCGTACTGCTGCTCTGACACTCCTGGAGTCTTCGTTTGGCGTCCTGGGCCACTAGTTCACTGCATTACAGCCGGAAAATGGCTTATCTTAGAGGACGTCGATAAGGGTTCTGCTGACCTCCCTATACTTTTGAGCCCATTGTTGCGACAGACAGTCGATGGCATCTCTGGTATACTTCATCCGAACACTGGAAATCTAGTTATTCGTCATCCTAATTTTCGTTTAATACTTACTCGTCGGACCGCGTCGTTTGGAACGTATTTTTCTCTGCATGATTCGGCGTCCGATATCTATGCAACCTACTGCTGTACGATCTACATGCAAGCAATGACGAGGAGCGCCATAGAAAGGGTACGTTGGACTCCCATCTAACCATTTTAAATCATGGTAGAAAATACTGTTTATTAGGCGATCCTTCTTCCGAGTTTCGTTTATCTTCGTAGTTACATTTACTAGCAGTTTTTATGGTATTCCAATGACATCTCAATTGAACTTTATGCCTTTCCACCAAACAGATCGTGTCTATCCGTTTTCCTTCCCTGCTTCCAATTGCAAAACGTCTTTTGGCCGAATTTGCACCGTTAAAAAACATTTCCGCAAATAACTCGAGTGATAAAAGATCAGTTTCATCCAGAGACTTCTTAAAATTTTGCGCCAGAGCAAATGCTCTTACCAATGCTGAAACGAACGCGGAGGAGTTGTACCTCGATGCGCTGGACTGTTTTGTTTGTTCCCAGCCGCCTTCGCCATTGCGTGAGAAACTCGCTATTGCACTGGGCGGATTATTTAACTTTACGGCTGATCGCGTAAGTCTGGTATTTACTGCATTTGCTTTATATTTGAAAATTTTATTTTCCAGACTACTCTTATATAACTCTGTTTTTAACATGTAGTCATCTGAACTGTGGAAGGACCGTAGGCCTGAACTATACTTGAACCCACAAATGACAAAGGTTGTAGCCGGTCGGGCTAGTATTCCAGTGAAACGTTCAATTCAGTGGGAACTTCAGCTTTCCAGGTAAGCAGATCTACATTTTATGTTGTTCTGAAATATAATCTGTTTTCGACTTCCAATTCGAGCTGTTTTTACTTCTTTCATCCTTTTAAGATTAAGAATCCTTTACTTCAATTTTTACGAGTGGCACCTGTGTGTGTTCTTCACTCCGAAGTCGATACCCACCTAGTTGTAGGCTTTCAGTCGTCTCTTTTTTCGGGTGGCAGTGTTTCCCTCGTCGGAAGCCGAAAAAACCAAAACGCTCACTCAGCTGTTCCCTACCACGAGGTCCTCTCAAATTATTATTTTTAATCAATTTTGTTGTTCTTCTGAAATTCCTTATGTTGCTTGTTCTCCTTCCGTGCTAATTGCTTGGGTGTCAATATTTTAACTCAGCATGAACTCGAACAGCGGACCGTTCGCAGGACAGACTTTTGCTGATACCCGTCTGGCCTGTTCATTGATTGAGAGGCTCACTGCCGCTGTGCAACACAAAGAACCAGTACTGCTGGTTGGCGAAACTGGTACGGGCAAAACGTCATCAATTCAACGTCTTGCTTTAATGGCTGGACGACGACTCAGGGTACTCAACTTAAATCAGCAGTCCGACAGTGTTGATCTCCTGGGAGGGTAAGTAGTTCTTCGATATCATTATTTTATCCCGAGTTTCATCTTCTAAACTGTGTTACAGTTTCCATATCATTTTCATCTATTTTATCAACCACCTTAATTCGAACTTCTACGATAAATCTGCTATCAGACCCAGTCGTTTCACCTTGATTCCGATCATCAGCACCCCACAATTTCTTCCTCTACACAATATTAAATCCTAAGAATTGTAGATGAATACAAAACTACTCTGCCACATGGGGTCTCGTTTGCGTGATGTGCAAATATTAGATCATTCGTTTTTTGTGGCATTTGGAATCATGCTTAACCGTCCTTTGCATTTGCTACAACGCCTAAACTATGCAAAACACAGATTTTCAGATTTTTGCACTGGTACCTGTGTATTGTGCCTTAATGAACTCCCTATTTATGTGTACTTCCAGATTCAAACCAGTCGACAATCGAGCCCTAATTAATCCAACTCGCGAGAGATTCGAAAGCCTTTTTGTGCGAACCTTCAAGATGGAAACAAACAGACAGTTTTTAAACCACATACAAGTGAGTTTTTCTATATGCCTACATATATAAATGTAATTAACCTGTAATTAACACTGCACGGTCTGCCAATTTGGCAAAACCCAGTTCACCCTTCTTTTCATATACTGGATGCAGTTTCACTCACCTTTTAGATTACCTAACTGTACTGGATACCTATCTTTGCGCTGTCAGTACTTGTTACAGGGCACTTTTGTTGGATCATTTTTTTCTTAGTCCAGTCCATCAAATGGTGCCTCAACTGTACAAGGCCAGCTTGTTATCTTTTTTTTCCTTATACAAGGTGTCCCAAAAAAATGTATACACATTTTGAACAATTGTAACTTTGAGTTTTATTATAATTTTATTATTTCAAAAATGTTGAAGTGTTAAGCTGTATCATTTTATTGTTTTTCAACTGCATTTTCACTATATTTTAAATAATTGAAAAAGAGAGAAGCCATTGAACATGAATGCGCCCAAATACGAATGGAATTGTTTTATGGTGTGTGCGATTCCATTGCTTCACATTGTCAGCAGTGTCTGGATTAAATGGACGTCAGTTTGATAACATGCAGTAAAAAACAATAAAATGATACTTGTAAGTAGTTTTACATTTTTGAAATAAC